TCCACATCTGCCCATTTGTCTAAGCCACAGCTGGGAGTTCTCTAGTACTTAAATATCCTTTGAATCTATGCTTTCCTCTGGGTACCACCCTTGGTCCTTGTAGCCTAGACCAGAGCCTTCAGTCCTCCCTAATCTGATCCACCCACCACCAGGTAATCTTTCCCCAGAGTAATGATCATTTTAAAAGGCCCATCCTATCGTGTCCTAGACCTTCTTAATGATCACGAATATTTCACGGCTAATAGGTGGCTTCCACTGTGCTCCCACCCCTTTGCCGGAATGCCGGTCCCTTTGCCAAGCCTCCATTGACGCAGAGTAAGAGGGTCTTTGCCATCCCTGGACCTCGGCACCTAGCATGTGAAGGCACGTAGTGGGTGCTTCTTGAATGAGTGAAAGAGGCTGGGCTGCTATCCAGGGACTCCTCCCCCTCCCTCCCATCCAGGACAGCCCAGGCACCCCTCCCCCACATGTCAGGCCCTGCCCCATATGTACCAGACTTAGCCTTCTTAACTCCTCAAAGTCCTCATCTGTAAACCAGTGATAAAGAAATCACAAGTGCTGGGGTGGCTTAAGGATGAACTTACCTGGTTTGGTCGCCTCACTCTGTACCTGGGAGTTCTGCAACCTTCAGCAAGGCATAGAAAATCCCTCCCCTGTCTTCTTGACTGTGAAATGGGGATAACGCGTAACTCGTAGGGGTACGGAGAGGCCCACATGAGATGATGCATGCATTGTTGGCATAGAGGCTAGCACCGAGGCTGGCACAGAGAGAGTATTCATTACACTGTAACACTAGCTCACTCCCCACTCACCCACTTCCCACTGTTACTACTTCCCAGGGCATCTTTCCAAAGTTGCCCGATGAAGATGCAAATAAATGCAACAGGTGTCCTTATTTTCTCTATTTTTACCCCAAAGTTTACATGACCCACACGGGGAGTCAGCAGATTTTTCTCTATACAAGGCCAGCTCGTAAATATTTTAGGCTTTGAACAGCAGATGGTTTCTGCGATTCCTCAGCTCTGCCATCACCGAGGGAAAGCGGCCTCTGATAATGGCTGTGTTCCAATTAACTTTATTTATGGAAACTGAAGTGTGATTTTCATATCACTTTCTCATGTCATGAAATATCCTTCTTCTTTTGAATTTTTTTCAACCATTTAAAAATGTACAAAGATGACAGTTGTTTCACTGTCTGTGCAAACACAGTGAGAGGGCCGGATCAGGGGCTGTTCTTCCACTTCTCAGTGCATCTCGGACACCTTCCCTATGGTGTCCAGGGGCTGCCTCTTTCTGTTTTGAGGGCGGATGACTCCATCCTGTGGAGGTGGCCTAGTTTGTTGAATCAATCCCCTAGGGCAGGGCCCTTAAGTTATTTCTATTCTTCACAAAATATTATTATTACAGAGTAGCGCTGTTATGAATAATCTCGCCCATCCACCATTTTTGACATTTGCAAGTGTCTTAGGTCAGATTCCCCTGGAGGTGCAGCTGGGAAATGAATTCTAGTGATTTACTGGGGGAAAGTGAAGGAAGGGAGGGAAGCAGAGTGGATAGGTGGAAGTATCACATGATCTCACTCATATGTGGAATCTAATGAACAAAATAAACAGATGAACAAACTAGATCCAGAGACATAGAAGCATGGAACAGTCTGTCAAATCTCAGAGGGAAGGCATGGATGAGTGGGTGGGAAGAGATTAACTAAAGAATTTATATGCATATATTGACACAGACAATATGTGGTGAAGGCCTGGGGCAGGCCCCAGGGGTGGGCTAGAAGGGATCAATGGGTGGAGAAATGGGGATATCTGAAATACTTTCAACAATAAAGTTAAATAAAAAAAGAAAAAGAAAAGAATAGGCAGGTGGGAAGAACTACCTTAAGTGGGAATTGGTCCTGGAGAAATCAAGCCAAGACCTGATTAAGGGTGGAGCCTGCAAAGTGGTCCCACCTTGAGGCAAGGGGGTGGGGCTTTTGAGCTTCTGGTTCAAGCAGTCATTGGCTTAGTGGTCCTGATAGTGGGCGGAGCCTGTCAAGTGGCTGCCATCAGCCCAGAGCAGGACTCAGAAGCAGCCAATGCGGACCTGGGCTGGGCACCTGCAGCACCCACCCCAGCAGGTTTATCTGCAGCACAGTCTCAGAGGTGTGATTGGAGGGGCAAAGCATAGATGCACTGTGCTGTGGGTAGACTTTGCCAAATTGCTGTCCATAAGAGCTGTATCAATTTACATCCTTCCCAACAACATCCGAGGGTGCCTGTTTTGGCACAATCTATGATCTCATCAAATTAGTTTATTATTAAACTTTTGGATTTTTGCTAATCTGATGGATTACAGGATGCCATCTCAGAGAAGTTTCCATTTGCACATCTCTTTGAATGAGAAAGATTGAGCAATTTTCATGTGTTTAGGAAAACTTGTATTTTTTTCCTGTGAGCTGTTCCTATTCCTTTGCTGATTTTTCCTTTCGGGTTATTGGTCTGTCTTTTTTCTTTCTGAAAGCTCTTTATATTTTATGGAAATTGGTCATTTTCTATACAGGAGTTGCACATATTTTTCTCATTTTGTCGTTTTACTTTGTTGAAGGTGGTTTTGGCCAAGCCTAGGGTTTTGATCATAGGGTTGTTTGGACAGGTAGATTATATATTATGTAAAGCACATAGCATGCACAGGCCACTGCCTGATAGGCTGCTCGGATGTTACCTCCCTCCCCTCTTCTCTCCTCAGTTCTGTGCTTTATCTAACTGTGTTCATTATTCTTCCTTAAATATGGCCCATGCCTCCATCCATTTTCTTATGTCTTGCTCCTCATTTTTTACTGTAAAATTCCTAACCATTTCTTGAATGGGTAGTTCAGACGTCAGTCTTTCTTACATCTGAATTCCTACACCTCTGTTAGCCATCCTAATCCACCATGGATCCTCATTATTTACACACGTTTGCCATGCTTTCCCCAAGCTTCAGTTGTCTTATCTAAAAAATGGAGTTGCTGGGAGAAATAGAGATTTATTTTTATTATGAAAGAATGCATGTTTTCTTTATATAAAAATTTTTTAATATATTTTATTGATTTTTTTTTACAAAGAGGAAGGGAGAGAGATAGAGAGCCAGAAACATCGATGAGAGAGAAACATCCACCAGCCGCCTCCTGCACACCCCCCCACCGGGGATGTGCCCGCAACCAACATGCATGCCCTTGACCGGAATTGAACCTGGGACCTTTCAGTCCGCAGATCGACGCTCTACCACTGAGTCAAACCGGTTTCAGCCCTATAAAAAATTTTACTGAAAAAATTCCACAGATGTAGAAACATATAACATTTAGAAAAGTAGTTAGACATACATAGGCACCTGCATTCCCCAGAAGCAGCCACTATTCAAAGGTCCTTCCAGACCTTTCCGATGGGGGATTGGGGAGAGAGGAGAGAGAGAAGTGTTCTTAAAACACAACTGGAAGCATACTATCCACTTTGTTCTGCAACTTCCTTTTTTTTATTCAATAAAATAACATGAATAAGATGATGCATTGAATCAGTGCTCAATGAATGGTAGCTATAACTGTCCTACCCACCTTGCAGTGATTTTTTAAATGTCCTTTTGGCAGCAGAGTACTTACCAAGCAAAACCGAATATGAACTCCCATTTGTAAATGAGATAGGGTGGAGGGTTAAGGTGGGGGGGGCACAGAGCCCCTTACCCACTTGTTTCCCCATTGCCATTTGAACACCTGAGAGTGTAGGGCAGGGTGTAGGTAGATCACATTTAACTAAGGGACATCATTATGGGGATGTATTGTCCAGGCAAGCTGGTGGTTACCCTGCTGGTCTTCAGCTGGCCCTTAAGGGATTTGAGCTCAGGAATCTTGGGGCCATTAGCGTGGGATTCCAATGAGAGAAACTAGTGACAGCATGTTAAGTGAAAAATCTACAGGTGATGACAAAAGTTTAAGAACATATACTTGAGCAAAGGTTGAAAGGAAATATGCAAAATTATTTGCTCTTTTGGGGTGGGGTGATGAATTCATTTTCTTTTCTCCTTGAATATTGCTGTTATATTATTTTTTGCAACAGAATAAATGAAAGGGATAGTCTAAGTTCTGCTCCTGAATCAATCTGTGAATGTGTATATGTTGGGCACCTATGCCACAGGTGAGCTGGAAAGGTTGCATTAAGAAGTAGCAGAGGGCTGGTGTGGCTCAGTGGTTGAGCATCAACCTATAAATCAAGAAGTCACAGTTTGATTCTATGTCAAGTACTCATACCTCACTTGCAGGTTCCCAACCCTAGTGAGAGTACATGCGGGAGTCCAACTGATGTGTCTCTCTCACGTTGATGTTTCTCTATTTCTCCCCCTCCTCCTTCCCTTCCACTCTCTCTAGAAATCAATGGAAGAAATATCCTCAGGTGAGGATTTAAAAACAAAATAAAACAAGGGTGAAGAAAAAGGGCAGAGGGCCTGGCCAGGTGGCTCAGTTGGTTGGAGTGTTGTTCCATGCATTAATCCTTGGTCAGGGCGTGTAAGGGAGGCAACCCATCGATGTTCTCATGTCATCAATATTTCTCTCTCTTTCTCTCAAAATATATCCTTGGTGAGGATAAAGAAAAGAAGAAGTGGCAGTGGGTAGACAAAGGACTTGTTTTGGAGCCAGGGGCTGGTCCATAGCGTCTCAAAGACTCAGAATGTTAGAGCTACATGGGACCAGTCTAACACCTTCATTTTACAGCCAAGGGAACTGAGGCACAGAGGGGTTAGTGACTTGCCCAGAATACCCAGCCAGAGCCTGGTATTCCACATATGGATAGGCACTCCCACTGACCTAGCTGGCTGGCCTTAGCACAGTCCTCTGCCAGGGCACTTTCATTTTCTTGGCAGCCAAAGAGAGAGAGCAGTCTTCTGGTGCAGGTGGGGGCGGGCATCCTGAGCAGGGATTGCTCAGCGACACCGCTCTCTAATACAACTCCCCCCTCCCGCCCCCCGTACCTCGGTTGTCTCCACAGGAGCCCGAGCGAGCTCAGCCAGACCCGCCCCTCCCAGCAGCGCGTGGGGCTGTCCCGGACCGTCAGGCTTTACCCGGCCACCGCAGCCAATGGCCAGCTGACTTCCAACGCCCTGCCCGCGGGACCAGGCCTTGAGCGGAGGGATGGTGCCCAGCAGGCAGCATATCTGGACCACCTGTCACCCCCCTGGGGTAAGGATGTCCTGTCTTGGGGCCCTAGAAGAGCAGGGCACCTAAAGCTTTGGTTTTCGTCTCCCATCTTGCTTCTCTCCTCCACTCTCCCTCACGGGCTGAGTTGTTACCTGTCCCTGGTCCTCTTAGCCAGTCAACAACAATTGTCCGGTGCCAGGCCCAGGGGTCCCAAACCAGCTGATCGGGGCTCCGTCCCTTTGAGACCCTTAGACTTGGATTGCTCCATCTCTGCTCCATCTGTCACCTGTCCTGCTTTCACTTCCTTCATGTCCAGCTATGAACCTCACCTCCCTGGCCCTGGCCCTTCCAACTCATCCTTCCTATAAACCTCCTGGACCAGCACAACCAGTTGCTTCCTTAGCGCCTATAACTGGTCCTCTGCTTCCCAGAGGAGAGACCACCGGCGGTCCCTGTGGATTCACGTCTCTGCACGTGATCGACCACCGCCCAGCAGTCCTCCCCTGTGTCCCTGGACGCTCTCTCCCAGTCCCCAGAGCAGCCGCTCCAGCTGTTCCCACTCTGCCCGGTCCCAACCCCCAGGCACATGGACATGCCTGCACCGCCATGAGCTCCTCTCCTGCCTTCCCCACTTCCTGCCCCGCCACAAGCACAGCGCCCCCTTCCCCTCCGCCCCTGACCATGCCGATTTCATTTTTTTGTACCATTTTGAAAGTTGAGGCATAATTCACATAACATGTTAAAGTGCACACATCAGGTTTCAGGTTTTCAGGATATTCACAATCTGATGCAGCTGCCACTGTTAAACCTGTTAACTGAGCAGGACCTATAAATACGTCAAACATAAACAATATCGGGAACGGGTAGGACGTATGAATATATCCTTGAAATATATGTTGCACCCCAAGAGGGACGCTATATATTTTTTGTAATCTTTTTTAAAAAAATATTTTATTGAATTTTTACAGAGAGGAAGGAAAGGGGAGGGATAGAGAGTTAGAAATATCAATGAGATGAGAGAGAAACATCCATCAGCTGCCTCTTGCACACACCCCACTGGGGATGTGCCAGCAACTAAGGTACAAGCCCTTGACTGGATTCGAACCCGGGACCTTTAAGTCCGAAGGCTGACGTTCTATCCACTGAGCCAAACCGGTTTCGGCTATTTTTTGTAATCTTTATCATTGTTTGTAAAATTTATAATTTTTTAATTTGACGTGTCCATTTTTTTTTGTCGGTATTCTTTTCTATTTTTTTTTATAATCTTGTATTTTCCTTTGTGCTTTATATATATAAATAAACAACAAATACATATATATATATATATATATATATATATTTCATTTATTTTCATTAAGTATAAATAAAAAATAATAATATGAAATTACGTCCTCCGGGCGTGACATACTGACACGTCCTAGTGAAAGAGTACGAGCCTGTTACAGGTTGCGTCATTAAAGAGGGAACTCCCCGGTTAACAGGTTAACTAATTCTAGAACATTGTCATCACTCTAGAAAAAAACAACAACAACAACAAAAAACAACCCCAAATCCCTCATAGGCATTAAGCAGTCACTCTCCATTTTCCCCATCTCCCTAGCTCATGGCCCCACTGATCTACTTTTTGTCTCTAGAGATTTGCACGTCCTGGACATTTCTTATGAATGGAATTATACAAAATGTGGCCTTTTATGGCTGCCTCTTTCAGTGAGTGTGATGTTTCAAGATGACCCCCTTTCTTGTCATCTTGAAAATCGGGTGTCCCTCTTCTTGTCGAAGGCACACACACACTTCCTTTCTTTTGTTGTTGTTTTGTTTTTAAAACCTTTATTGCTGAAAGTATTACATATGTCTCCTCCCCACCCCTATTGACCTTTTCTAGCCTTCCCCCGGCCCTCCACCCTAGGCTTTCTCCGTCCTATTGTCTGTGTCTGTGGGTCACACCTCCTTTCTTTTTCTTTTCTTTTCTTTCTTTTTTTTTTAAATATATTTTATTGATTTTTTACAGAGAGGAAGGGAGAGAGATAGAGAGCTAGAAACGTCAATGAGAGAGAAACATCAACCATGTCCCTGACCGGAATTGAGCCTGGGACCTTTCAGTCCGCAGACCGATGCTCTACCACTGAGTCAAACCGGTTTCGGCAACACATCCTTTCTTGATTGCTCTGGAAAGCTAGGCCTCACAGGTCCTCCCCTTGGCCCCTCTGTCCTCCCCTCCAACCTGCACCTCTCCTAGCCTGTACCTTTCCCAGCAGCTTCTAGCAGGAATACACAGACTTATTTCTCCCCTTTTCTCTGGCTTTCTCTCCCTCCTCTCCCGTTAGCCAAGCTTCTTGACCGGGTGACCGCACACACTTTTCACACTTTCCCTCATCCACCCCTCTGCCTCACCGCTTCCCTCTCTGGGCTCCCCTCCTTTGAACGTCAGTCCGCTGCTACCACCCATAAGTGAAGCAACCTCAGCTCACACTGCTGTGTGGCTTCCCTCCCTGGTCACCTGCCTCCACTCCACCTACACCATCTGGGAGGACATTCGCCCCCACATTTCCTCTTTGATCCCTTACCGGACTCTTCAGGGACTTCCTACTACCCACCAAATAAAGTACCCATTCTTGTTCTGACAACCAGTCTCCTCCCACCCCAAACCTGCCTCCAATCGTTCTTTCGGGCTTTATCTTCCTCCGCTTCTGGAACTCGCTGCACTCCAGCAGGTCTGAGCTACATTCTTACAACCCTACCTTCTCCCAGCCTGTTTCCTTACCTGTGAAGTATTAGCTTGGATGTAGGAACACTGCCAATCTTCAACCATCCTAACCTGCAAAAGTGGCATCTTCTAACGGTTCAACCTAAAATAAGACTCAAGAGCGTCTAAAGTGCATAAAGCATGAGCTCATTGGCTGCACATCAACGTCCCTCAGTCAATGCTTGTCTGGGAGCTTCTCACAGGTATCACCCTGCCTAGCAATGGGGCCTTGTCTCCTGTGGGTGCTTAGCAAATGCCCGTGGGATGGACTCACCCCTGGTCCTCGGGCCTGTCCAACCAGCCTCTGGAGGTCACAGCTGTGCCTCTCAGCCCTGCCCCCTGGACCCAAGCCCTCTCTCTGCAGGGCTGAACCTCACGGAGAAAATCAAGAAGATCAAGATCATCTTCACTCCTACCATCTGCAAGCAGACCTGTGCCTATGGGCACTGTGCCAACAGCTGTGAGCGTGGCGACACCACCACCCTGTACAGCCAGGGCGGCCACGGGCACGACCCCAAGTCTGGCTTCCGCATCTGTGAGTCCCTTCTGCCCTCAGACGGCAGTTCCCGGCTGGCCCTGCCTCCCAGGTTATTGGGGGGGGTCAAGGAAAGGCATGACAGGGCCCTTTAAAAAGCCAGGGGCTGGTTCTTATCTCCCCTTCTTCACACACCCCCCTCGGGGCCTCCTGGAAAGTCCCTGCATTTCAGGCGACTGACACCGTGCCGATTTGGAGCCCTACTGCGCCCTGCTTCGTTGTCACCCACCGTGACAAGGGGGTGTGGGTGAGGGGGGTGCTGCTATGATCTCCCACCGCCGGTCACTTTGAGGTCCACGTTGTAGATTTCTGCCAGATCCCCTGCCTGAACGGAGGCCGCTGCATCGGCAGGGACGAGTGCTGGTGCCCCTCCAACTCCACCGGCAAGTTCTGTCACTTGCCCGCCCCAAGGCTGGACAGGGAGTTTGGGGAGAGGGGCTCCCGCCACCGGGCGCTGCCGGAGGGCCCCTTGAGGCAGTCCACCTTCACATTGCCGCTCTCCAACCAGCTGGGTGAGTGCAGGGCTGGGGCGTGGGGCTGGGCACCCTGGGTTGCCCGGAGGGTGGGAGTGGGCATGGTGGTGGAGGGGACCTGCCTCCAGGCCTTTCTTCACAGTCAGACCTCCCTCCTTCTCCTCCTCTGCCCTCGGGCCTCCATTTCATCCCTAAACTGCTCTTTGCCCTCTCATCCGAATTCAGCAATGTATTTGCCCTTGCCGCAAACGAGTGCTATGCATGAGACAAAAGAGTATGAGGTCAAGGTCTTGCCTTCAAGGAACCCAGGAACCTGGACAACAGAGGAGGATGGGCAGGAAAGAGATAGCTTTATAGAACACTTCATTTCCCCTGCCTTCCATGACTAGGTGCCAAATTAAAGGTACAAAAATAGATGAGGTCAGAGCATGGAGAGCCCCCTAAGCCCAGGGGGTTCAGGGAAGGCTGCATGGAGGAGGGTAGACTTTGGTTAGGCCTTAAACAATGGCACCTTTGGTTACGCAGAGAGGAGGGGAGGGGTCCCTCTGTGGAGGGACTGGCATGATCAAAGACCTCGCAGGCTTAGTGCACAGGTCCATGGGAAAGGTGCAGGAAGGTAGCTTAGACGTTGATAATGAAGGTCCTTCATTGAAAGGCAAGTCGTGAAGGAGCTTGTCCTTCATCTTGTCCCCCTCACCAGGAAATTGTGCTGAAGTTTGGGTAGAGGTTGAAGAAATGAGGGAGGATTGGGGGCCACTCACAGCTGGGCCCGGGGCTAGAAGACACTCTTCAGAGGGTGGGGCCTTGTTTCCCCAATGCTGACCCCAGCCCCTGTGCCCAGCCTCCGTGAACCCCTCCTTGGTGAAGGTGCACATCCACCACCCGCCCGAGGCCTCCGTGCAGGTGCACCAGGTGGCGCGGGTGCGGGGCGAGGCCGAGGAGGCCCCGGAGGAGAACAGCGTGGAGACCAGACCTGGGCCCCGGCTCCCCACCAGCCCTGGCCATGGCCACTGGGACAGCAACAGCATCCCCGCGCGGCACGGAGAGGCCCCTCGGCCGCTGCCCCCGGCGGCACCCAGGCCTCGGGGGCTGCTGGGCCGGTGTTACCTGAGCAGTGTGAACGGCCAGGTGAGAAAGCGCTGGAAGCTTCCAGAACAGGGATTGCCCCCGCCCACACTCTGCTCCTTCTCCTTCTCTCTCCTCCTCATTCTTATGGAACGTAAGTGTCTTTAGAGTCTCCCGTCCCCCAGGAGAGAAAACTAGGCCTGTGATTGCTGAGTGCAGACAGGCCTGCCTCCTTCCTGGGCTCCACCAGGCACCTGTCAATGCACGCAGAGCAGGGCACCAGGGTCCTCGGCCCCGGTGAATCCTGGGCTCTCCAGGAGCTGAGTCCAGGGGCCCCTGGTGCAAGGACAGTGGGGCCCTTAAATCTGGCGAGAGTTTGGTATTCAGTTGAGAGTAGGGTCATAGGAATTAGCAAATGCAGGTTAAGCCCCAAAGCCTTAGGGGTACAATGACGAGAGTCACCTCGCACCCATCAGGAAGCAACCACAGCCATTGACGGAAAATCCGGTGAGCTTTTCTGAGCTCAGGCACCTGAGTACAGAAGCTAAGCCAGACCCAGGATGGTTTTTCTGGGGGTTGCAGTTTGGTGTTTCCAGAAATACCTCCTGATTTGAGGGGACTGGAGGAAGTCGCCAGTAACCAAGGGATAGGGACTCTGAGTCCCCAGACCTGCCCTGGCCCCTCAGCTTGTGGTGTCCCTGAGCCTGGGCCATCCCCATGGGGTTGGCACTGTGGGTGATCATGGAGTTGGCACAGAGGAAAGTTCACCCTTTGGGGTCCCCCATCGAAGGGCTGAGGCATGTAGGAAGCAGTTTGCCTGGAGTTAGTCCCACCCTTCAAGTTTTGGGTCTGCTGAGTGGACTTCAGGGTTGTCAGCTTCCTTCTGGAACATCAGCTGACTCTTTCCTATCCCCTCCCTGGGGTGGGGGTATCCTCTGGCAAGGTGTGGGGGGAGGGAATCCCCTGGGCCATCTCTGTGCACAGCAGGGGCGGGAAGCAGTGACACACGCCAATGGCCTTTTTTCCAGTGTGCCAACCCCCTGCTGGAGCTGACTACCCAAGAAGATTGCTGTGGCAGTGTGGGGGCCTTCTGGGGGGTGACCTTGTGTGCCCCCTGCCCGCCCAGACCAGGTGAGTGCTGGGTGCCAGGGCCCGGGGTTGTGTGGGAAGCTCTCCCAGGACCTGGCCTCTGCTTTACCCGCCTCCCATCTCCTACCGGGTCTAGGGGGCCAGGCAGGTAGCAAACACTGATAGATGGGGCAGCCTTCCCACATCTGCTTCGGGGCTGCCTCTGGCTGGTGGCGATGCTCCTGAGGGCTCAGCCTGGCCTGCCTGCTCCATCTGAGTTCCTGGGAAGGTCCCTCCCTCTTGCCAGCATTCTTGCTTGTATTTTAGGGATCCCATCCCATGCTGGGCCCTCATCTATCCCTGCGCCCCTTTCCATATAGCCCCTGCCCAGGTACCAGGGGCTCCGGGGTCTTGATTTGGTGACTTGGTGTCTCCTTTGCTCTCTCCCCGGAGGGGCCCCCAGGCCTGCTCCTCGCCTCCTGTTTCCTGCCTCCAGTTTTTGTATCCGGAATTGGGTGTGTGTCCCAGAATATTCTCAGCCTTGGGTACGGAAAACCCAGTTCCCTGCCCTCTTTTGGATAGTGGAAAAACCCAACATGTTTTTATTCATTTATTCATTCATTCACTCACTCAGCAAATACCTGCTGGGTACCTCGTGTGTGCCAAGCTCTGAGAATTCAGGAGTGAGCACAACGCTGCTCTCACGGGCACTGCTCTTGCAGGCGGGAGGCTGTGTCAAGGTGCCTGTGCCTTGAGAAGGGCTTCTGCCCGCGCAGCCTGTCTGCCCCTCCAGGCCTCACTCCAGGGCCCGGGCCTGCCGTGTATTTCTTGGGCCTGTCAGCAGTCGACTCAGTGAGTTGGCTTTGTCGGGGGGCTGGACCGGAGCCCAAAGGTGGGAGGGGCAGGGCTGCTCTTAACTTCAAACCTGGCTTTGGAGCAGGGACCGTGTTTTCCTAACTAAAAATAAGTGTGGCGGTCTCGCCGGGTAATTGACTTGTTGGTGAAGCACCAAAAGGTTGTATGAAGCTCCCAGGCTTGAACATAGCTGGTGTCAGTCCCAGATCTGCCTGCTGACTGGCCTCTCTCCGCTCTGTCTCTGCTCTGCAAAGGCAGTGCCAGCCTCGCAGGGCTGCCCTGGAGAGTACAGGAGATGATGCATGTGCCTAGTGTTAGGTCCATAAATGGTAGCTGTTAATAGTATTATTAGAAAGATCTCTCCAAAAAGGGAAAGGGGAATGGACCCACTGCCTCACGTGGAAGAGCGCCGTCAGGCTACTCAGCACCGCCCCCTGCAGGCCAAAGATGTTTGTGCCACTTTTCTTTTTTTCCTTCGTTTTCCTTTTTCCTTCTGGTCCAGCTAGCTGACCCTTGAGATTCCCATATCCCACATTGCATTCAGCCAACGATCAGTAAGTTTAAAGTGGCCCCAGTGGATAGACCGTGGAGAATTCCACAAAAGCAGTGCCCATTGCTTCCTGTCTCCAAGCCTGCAGCCTAGTGGGGGAGGGGAGGAGAGAGGGCGAAGACAGGTAATGGGCATCAGAAAGAGAAAAATAATGCTAGTCAGAGACTAGACAGTGCCAGATGCAGTGGGGACAGACAGCAGATCCAGAGACTGTTAGGTCCTGCAGCACCTCCGTGCAAATCAGAGAAAAGTCCGCCTTCCATTGGTCCAGTCTGTATAAACATACAGATCTAGGATGCCAGTGTTCCCCTTAACGTGGTGCTTTATGCAGGGCACAACCCGCACACCTATACACTGTGGGTAGGCAGTCCTAGCTCAAACTGGTGAGTCAGGGGAAGCTTCTTAGAGGAGGTGACATTCAGGATGAGACCCGAAGGCTTATCAGAGTAACCCAGTCAAAGACACGGGGAACTGCTTACTAAGCCGAGGAAATTGCATATGCAGGTGAGACCAAGAGAGTGAGCAAACATCTCCTGGCGTGCAGCACACCCAAGGCTGAGCCCTCACCCCCTCCCACCCCCACTGTGCTCAGCACACTCAGCAAGCTGGGCGCCAGGGTGCGGGCCCTGGAATGGCGAGCATTCTAGCACACCAAAGAGCATAATAACAAGGACCAGGGCAATGTAAGCATTTCAAACACATTAAAGTACAGCTGGGCATTGTAGGGAGAAGGGGCAAGAGCAGGGAGCCTTGTTTGTGTTGACAGAATGCCACACACCTAGCTCCGTGCCCAGGCCCAGGGCCAGGCTGGGGATGTTTCTTTAAGGAGGCATGACAAACAAGCTACTGTGCCAGAGTGGGAGGAAGAAAGGCCAGCGGCCGGGCTGGGATTGGGAATAGTGGGCAAAACTTCTGGGTTCTAGAACATTCTCTGCCCTGGTGGCTTTGCCCCTCTGAACCTCTATTTCTCCGATAAAATAAGGCTTTGCATCTCAGGGAAGGACTTTATCATCCTCAACGAGGCAGTCTAGCAGGATGGGGGTGGGGGAATGATACAACCTGCAGTGAGCAAGCCCTGTGATTTTGTTGCTTCTCCTAAATCACCTGGCTTCTGAGACTCTGTGCTGGACTATGGGAACATCCCTGTAGAATACTATTCCTCCTGCTCCTCCTCCTCCTCCTCCTCCTCCACTTCTTCCTCTTTCTCCTCCTCCTTCTCGTCCTCTTCTTCCTCCTCCTCCTCCTCCTTCTGGAACTTCCATAGTAATGTAGCTGTCTGTATTAAAAGTAGAGATCAGGAAGCATTTAAGATCTTGCTTCCCAGCAATTGTCAGTTTCACTCAAATACACTCTTATGAAAATTAAAAAAAAATAAAAAGTAAAAGTAAAGATCAGAGTAGCAGAAATAGAAGAGTAGGGCTAATTTCAGAAACACTTAGGAATTAAAATCAATGCCTGACTGGCATGGCTCAGTGGTTGAGCATCAACCTATGAACCAGGAGGTCACGGTTCGATTCCCGGTCCAGGCACATGCCTGAGTTGTAGGTTCTATCCCCAGTGGGGATGTGCAGGAGACAGCCGATCAATGATTCCCTCTCATCGTTGATGTCAGAATGCTGCTGTTTCTGACACAGAAACAGGACTGCCTTCAAGTCTCAGTGAAATGGCACAGACAAATCCCCTTTCTTCCAGAAACATTCCCCAGGGCCCTCTTTCTCAGGGGGATGGCTCAGTGGATCCAGACTAGCCTCTGGTCCCCCTGGTCCCTTCACTGCATGGCAGATGCAGCTGACCCTCCTGACTCCATGGGAGTTTTCAAAGGTCCCCACTCAGAACTTCCAAGTCCTCCTGCCAGGGTCGGGAGAGCACCTGGCCCTTAAAAGCCACTTTGATTGAAGCCACATTTCCAAGTTTTCATCTAAGACAGACATCTGGGTTGACTGAAAAGCTGGCCGCTGCCCCATCTGTCCTGGCACTAGCTGGTCCACCCCAAGGTTCGTTTGCTGGGGCAGCAGGGCGGGCTCACAGCTCGAGGTCTGTCCTGGTGGCTCCAGCTGCTTGCCACGAGAGCGTCTTTCCTTCTGCTTGGCACGGGATGAGTTCACCTCGGAGCCCGGGCCCCTCCCTGCATCTCCAAGGAGAGCTGGCTCTCGCTCTGCAGCTTCCCGTCTTCAAAACCACCACCACCCGTTTCCGAACGTTCACACCACGCTGGGCTCAACACCGGTATGATCTCATTCCATTGTTTCTGCACCTGCGAGCTCAGGCTCTTTATCCCACCAGACAGGTGAGGAAACGGGGTTCAGAGAAGGCTGGGGAACTTGTCCAAGGCCACACACTCAGGACAAGTGCAGCCAGGGTTCAGACACCACAGCATGCCTGGTTCTCAGCTGACCAAGGTCTCCCTAACTCTGACCAAGGCCTGGACCTGCCTGCAGATAACGAAAACCAGGACCCCAAACCATAATTTCACAGACAGGAGGATGCACCCGGGATTGTTTCATGAGTTATCTGTGCATGAAGGACAATGTCCTTTGGGGTTGAATAGACAGGCCGGGCAGCAACCTGCAGCCCAGGCCTAAGCGTTGACTGAGACTCACGAGAAGTGTCGCAGGGAGAAGCGAGGAGGCGCGTTCCATGCGGTTCAGGGGGGCGAAGGCTGATGTGTGGATGTTTCTGGTGAGCAGAGCGCAACTCAAAGCAGCAGCGTGTTAAAACGGCAGCTGGGACTTCAGGTCCAGACAGTGGAGCAAGTAAATGCTGTGCTCGCCTCTCCCACGACCACATCAACATCACAACTCAACGAGAATAATCACCTCACAGAACCACCTGACGACGAGGCAAAAGGAACTCCTATATCTGAAGGCATAAAGAATTAAAAAAAAAATGCAACTGCCCAGCAATATAATGGGGTGTGCCTGGAAGTACCGAGCTCCCCGCCATGAGGAGTGTGCTTACCTTAGTAAGGTTTGTAGGAGTTAGGGAAGGAAACTGATTTTTGGGGGGATGGAGGTTTATACGCACTGAGTGGCCAGATGATGATGACCTCTGAACGCATAATCATCTGGCCACTCCGTGTACTTCTCTGAGTACCTCATTTATTTGTTATCAAAGATACTGTACATCGTGCACCTGATCAGTTTTCCCCTTTGCACTGGCTGATAGAAAGCTCAGGACAAATAGGTGGTTGGTCTGTAGCTAAAGTCTAGAGGGTACCCACTGGAGATACGAATACACTGAGTGGCCAGATGATTATGTGTTCAGAGGTCATCATCATCTGGCCACTCAGTGTATACATTTGAAAGTTTCTTGGAAACACTCAATAGAAAGAAAGCTTGGGTTTGGCTTGGTTTTGTCAGGGCCCTTCCCCACGAGGAGTGTGGCAGGCACAGTCTGTGAGGCCAGCCCCGTGGGGGTGGGCACGTGAGGGTGATGTGGGCATGATGCCAGGTTGAAGCAAAGAAACATGGGCCGGTCACAGCAGCAATGTCATTATTGTCACCATCGTCGTCGTTATCCGGAGCATCTCCTAAGTGCCACGCTCCATGCTTCCTCGTTTTGTTGTCTTCTAACAACATCTCTAGGAGTTTCCGGGCTCACTATCTTCATTTTACAAATGAGGAAACTGAACCTGAAACCTCAGGTCTATAACACCTCA